ATAGCCACCAGAGAGTCTTGCGGCCAGATTGGACGTTACTCGTGTCATGATTCGTGTTTATTAATATGTTTAAAAAATACCAGTTTTCATGCAGGTCATATCATATTATTTTGTTGTATTCAGCTGCCACACCTTAATGGCCTGTCCCTGAAAATATTGTTTGACATTAAACCGGTCCGTGGGCCAAAAAAGGTTGGGGACAGCTGCTCTAGATAGTCATCTCAGGATCTTGTGAGACAGAGTAGTAGTGTTTTAATCACAAAATAAAAGGGCTGTGTCCTGGCATCTTGTTTTGGAAGAAATTGTTTGTTTTTCTGACTGCATTGCACTATATCGGCGTTTCATGTACTATTCACCGAGGGTGCTGGCAAAGAGAATCCGGAGGGCCGTGAAAAGCATTTTTAAAACGGTACACGTGAGCTACGACAGTCAAAAACGCTGCAAAAGTGTGCCCCATGCCTCCGCGTCAGATCGCGACGAAGTAGGTAGGCATACGTCTATAAGTGTGTTGTGTATGTGCGGGTCGATCGTGGTAGGTTGGTTGAACGAAAATTAGATCTTCGGTCAAAAAAGGTTGGGCACCCCTGCTCTACAGAATGCACTGCACGAAAAAAAAAATCATGAAGGCTCATTGTGTTATTGTAGCAAACTTAGTCATTTTGATCGTAGGCTAATACAGCTCATATAGATACAGGTTGTAGCTCCGAAAAAAGGAGAGCTATGGTGTTTTTTTTTTTAAAACCTGCACTTTATCTATGCTTTTAACAGTCTCGACAAACACAGACATGTCTGCCTCTGACTCCGTGCCGTCTCTCCTCTCGTTCGACTCGAGAGGCGTTCAAAGATATCCTCCGAAAAACGGAAATTAATGATCACTTCAATGACACTAAGAAAAGCGAAAATAACGAACCAAAACAGAAAATCAAGCGAGGAAATCGCAAAATAAATTCAATGGGGGCGTTTGTGAATGAATAACAAACAATTCTGAGACAGTCCAGTCTCCTACATACATAAATCATGCGTTTCCTTCATTGTAAGTTTTATAGAAGGCTTTTATTTTTTTGCGGCTCCAGACATATTTGTTTTTTGTTTTTTATGTCCTATTTGGTTCTTTCAACATTTTGGGTTGCCAACCCCTACACTGTATCATTGTGTCATCATTCAGAAGCTTCAAAATTACATTGTTCAATAGTCACGCTATTTGTTCTTGGCATTGCAAAAATGTTTACTTAAGCAGAAAAATTGCATCTCATGTGTGCGTACGTCTTAGTGATATTTAAAGATGCAAAGCCACGGCATGTTTGATAAATCACATTGTGCGTGCTAGTTTAATCTATTTGCATGTACTGTACTTCTCCCAGAACACACAAAACAAACTGCATGGCAATATTACACTTTTGTCTCAACTTTGGGTGTGCCCAATTAGTAGATCAGCTGTTTTCCGCCATCAATCAAGGTTATGCCTGTTCTAGTATGTGCAAACCTTGAGTAAGTTAGTGTATCGTGAAGTTGCACCTATGCATGATACTTTCGAATCATCTTTTGATGCTGCTCTGCTGTTTTCAGTTCTAGAATAGGAGATGTGGATGACTTCCCTGATGTGCGTGTGGATGTGTCTTCTCCCGGACCACGGGTGACTTTCAACATCCAGGATACGGTAACGTCATGTTGTGTCCATACTGCCCACCCATAATATTCTGTCGGTTTGCCAGATATCTTTTGATTTAAAAGTCATCGTTGATTTTAGATTGTGAAAGCAAAACGCACAAAAAATGGGATAGCATCACTCAGCTGTCTGTAGGAGGCATAAGATGCATCGCATTAACATAAAAGATTATAAATTACATTGGGGCGTGCCCATGACCTATGTCATCCTTCATTACCATCTTAATGTGAGTGAGTACACTGGTACCTCTACTTACCAACGTCTCTTCATTTGAAATTTTCAAGTTATGAAATGCCTCAACAGGAAAATATTGCCTCTTGTTACGAAATAAATTTCAACACAGGAAAGGTAAAAAGACAGTATGGGCTGCTACTCGCAGCTCCGAGTTTCCTGAACGCAACATACTTATAGCTGCTCTGCCATTGGCTATTACCTAGCATCTTCCTGGCATCCCATTGGCTAAGAGGGACCTTTAATGTATGTGTCTAAGTGTGGATGGATAGATAGATAGATGGATAGATAGATAGATATGAGTCTATGAGGCGTTCCGATCACCCAGAAAAAGTGTTCACCAGTCAGACGATCGCTCACTATTTTGATGTTTGCCTTGGACATTTTCGAAGGCTTGTTGAAAGCTGACAAAAGCAAATGCCCTTGGAACAGTTCTTTACAAAACGCCAGGCAAAAACCACTTCTGAGAGAGAACATGAATTAAGAGGTCAAAAAACAATGAGGACGCAGTTAAAAGTTAAATGACCATCATTTTTATTCTTTGCTTTTTACATTATGCACAACTCTCATTTATTGTGCACTGATCTAATTATAACCTGTATTTGTTACTTTTAGACAGTAATTCATGCCTTTGTCACATCCCGGCTCGATTACTGCAATGCCCTTTACTTTGGCGTCAGCCAGTCCTCCATTAAGCGCCTCCAGCTGGTCCAGAATGCCGCTGCTCGCCTCTTGACTGGTACTCGTAAGAGGGAGCACATAACTCCTACTCTGGCATCCCTTCACTGGCTCCCCATACATTTTAGAGTTATTTTCAAGATCCTCTTATTTGTTTTCAATCTCTAAATGACCTTGCGCCACCTTACCTTTCTGCGCTCATCCGCCCCACCACGCCTAAGGTCTGCGGACCAGACATTATTAGAAGTACCAAGAACTAAACTGAGGCTCAGAGGGGATTGAGCCTTTTCTGTTGCTGGTCCCTCTCTCTGGAATGACCTCCCACTGAACATTCAGCAATCCTCCTCGCTGCCCATCTTCAAAACCCGCCTCAAAACTCACTTGTATTCTTTGGCATTTGACTTAGTATGACTCAGATTTGATCTTAGTTTTACTGTTTGGTGCTATCTACCATCTTTGTTACTGATTTATTGCTTTACTGTTGTATATGTTAGTTGCTCCATATACAGCACTTTGTGTGCAGCGATGGCTGTTTGAAAGTGCTCTATAAATACAGTTGAGTTGAGTTACGTATTTTTATGCTTTAGAAAACATTTATGTCTGAATTTTTGGGGTCTTGGAACAAATTAGGGGATTTACATGAAAAACACGTCTCTGCTTACAAAGTTTTCTAGTTAAGAAAAAGTAGAGGTACCACAGTACTACATGAATTTTACATAATGTAAATATTATTGTGGCCGAATATAATCACAGGATATACATTCGCCTTTAAAGCTGCCTTTAAAGCTTTGAGCCCGCACAGGAACATGTTTCTTCTCACATTTGGATGAGATGTTTTTTTTTTTTTTTTTTCCCCCTTTATTTGGTTGTTTTTTGTTTGTTTGTTTTTAACTTTGTGTTCAATTTAATATAAACAATCAGGCTTTGGAGTCTGCAATTGCACCTGTCAGTCCAGGAGATGTATTCAAGGTATATGTTCAAAAATTACATTTTTACAAAGAATAATCGCAAAACCTGACTGACTAATGATATACTTCGGTTTCCTCTTTTGCTCCGTGATTACTTTAGTGATGCTGTTAGGCTTTTTAAAATCCAAACAAGATGATGAAATACTGGCGTCAGCAATCAGGCTGGATTTAAGAAGCATTGTTATGTTTGAGCAACAGTGTCGTGGATATGCATAACTTGCCATCCATGAAAGTAGTTTTAATTTATTCATGCAGCTTGCAAAGATTGGTTGATTTGTTTTCATTTATTCATGAATCAAATTATAATCCCAATTCTGTGGTCCGTGTGCAGTATAGCGATTTGTCCATGGTGTTAAGAGGATAATCTCCAAAAAAGGCCGAAATTATTCAATAAAGAAGGCAAGCTCAAATATACAAAGTACATTCTGAAGTCAACGTATTTTTCATCTTGTTTTGGTACACTTTAAAAATCCTAACCTGCGTTGCTACCAACTAATAAATGGCTGATTTCTGTCAATAATTCTGCATGGCACATGAACCACCACTACTACTAATAATACTTCTCTTTTCGCGTACCCAAAAACATCCATGTAGTGATCGCATACCAAAAAATTGACATTCTTCCTTAAAGATTTTGGGGTATTAGCTGGGACCTTCTGCATTGTGTCAGGAAGCGCAATATTTTCTTGATATTGGAAACAATTTACAATTAAAAGTTGATGCATCTGCATCGAGCATGTTCAGACACGGTCAGATCTCTCATCAGTAATTCGGTTGAATATCGCAAGGTTCCTTGTAGTATTTTTGCACGACATAATGCAAATCACGTTTGCCGTTGTTACTTGTTTCCATTGTCTCGCCTCTTCTCCAGTTGGGGTGCCATGCCAGCTTCATCATCTTTCATCATTACTGTCTCTGACATTTCATTCGACAGAAAATGCATGACCTCTGAGAACTGTTGCAGGATGGTAGTGTTCTGTCTTTGGATGTCATTTGGTGACCCACTCTGGCTAAAAAGTCCGCATGGGTTAGTTTTGCGATATGGACAAAAAAATGTTGATTTTGAGCTTCAAAAATACCATCTTCAAGATCTCTATTTTCATTTACGAGTAGTCCCAAATTTAAAATAGTAGCATCAAAATAAGTGGTGAAAAGACAAAGTGCATCAATGACTAAGGTGTTTTTAACTGACTCGTGGGGAGCGCGTCTTGGGGAACTTGCAAACTTGGTCCCAAAACTCCCCAAAATTCCTCCCCTCTAATGTCATTTCACAAATTATTTATACACATGCACATAGCAACAACTAAAAAGTCGAAGGTACATCATAATGTGACCTTGCAGCACGAAATTGAGCACATGACAACACATTTTGACCTTGAGCCGATCGTGCAGTGACCCCAAAAAAAAAATCTGTTTAGATTCAATATTTAGATTAAAAAACAAAAGAAATAAAATGTGAATACAGGGCTTTCATGTGAGGTTTACTACAGATGACACACCATGTCATTGATGTATGTCACAAGTGGACCATCTGCGTATGTGACAGAGTTATGAGTACCACCCCAAATTTCCACTTTTATACTGATTTAAGTGGGATGAAATTAAAATCAAATATGAGCACTGGTAAACGTGCAGATGGAAAGATGATCATGATTGGTCATTTCAAAGCCTGTCTCACCCTCCCCACAATACATGACTTGGGTGACTTAACAGTTTGCAGAAAGTGTTGATTGGTTGCTTATGTATTACATCAAATATTTAAAAAAACAAAACAAAAAAAGTGTTTTAATTTCCTTTATGTGGCCAAATGCATTTCAGATTCGATATCCATCATAAAATATTGTTCTAGTCACAGGCCACCCCAAATGGTAAATAAGACTTTTTAACTGACACAAGATTCTTAAATCAAATTTCCCATTGATTAGATTTTTTTAAAAAAGGCCCACGAATAACAAAAATAAAATAACCCAAACATTGGCTGATGATGCCACAGGAAATGAATTGTAAGCTGAATGGGATCTTCAAAGTCAACCTTTCTCAGCTATTAAAGGCTTAAAATCATGATGTCCTCACCTGCTATTGAAATTTACTTTCCAGCGGTCTTTGAACAGTTCCTGAAAGTTTTGGGCCACCGTCTTTTTTTAAAGGTGCTGGTTGCTGTGGACCTCACAATTAGGGATTTCAACCTGGCAACATTAAAATTGCTTTCACTTTGTCACCTGTTGAGGGGAATCCATCCATTCATGTTGAAGGAAAATAAAATTAGGATTAAAATATATATCACTTCAATTAGTATTTTTTTTTGTTTTAGCTGTATGGGGGACCATTTAGCCAGAGCCGATCACATTGGTTAGTTACACAATATTGTGTCTGTTATTATGACAAGTAATTAAATATCTAGCCTCCTGTGGATGCAGGCGTTATTCGCCTAATTAACAGAACCCTACCTCCTTCGTGGTGTGGCTCTCTTGTAGGGTTGGGTATCAATTATCAATTTCATTTTGATTGTTCTTATTGCTATTAGTCCATTTGGGGGGGGGGTGATACACGATGATAATAATGATAGTCATACTTTTGTTGACATTACTTACTGGTAATTATGTATTGCACGGAGATAAGCGACTCCGAGTGTAACGGTTGCTTGCCTTCAACAGGGTGGAGGCAAACATGCCGCTGTTTGTGAATTGCTCGAATACAATTCTGAATAAATGAGCCCCATCTTAACTAGCAAATCAATGATTTATGGATACCCAATCCTACATAATTGTATCACTTCCTAGTTGTGGCATCAACTCCATCACCCCAGCTGATAAGCTGATGCCTCCAATTAGGAAGCGCTTTGTGGCAACATAAACTGTGTCCAACTGAGTCTTTGACTTTCTGATCTTCTGTGAAGTTTCCTGAGGAGTCAGAGATGGACCTGTTGTCAGTCACCATTGATGAGCCATCCCATCCTCATGATCAGCACCATCTTCATTCTTTATCCATAATTGGAGACCAGAGCTCAGTTTTCAGTGCTCCTTGCACGCCTGCTGTTCTCTCACCCACGATTCCCTTCCAGCACGATGACATGCAGCGAGATGACCTGTCCTCGTCTTCCTCTGAAGACTTGGAAAAGGAGGATGAGTTTGAACGCGAGAGATCCCTGAGCTATCGAAGGCCTTTGTACGTTTGTTTTCGTCTCCCTTTTACTCTAGTTACTCTTGCATTCCGATTGCGTGAATGGTATAAAGTCAAAGAATACTCATGATATAATAAATTATCATTTCTGCTATGGTGTCATGTATTCGCTATCCATTTCTTTGCTCTTTCCCTTTAGCCAAGCTTCCCACAGGAAGTCATCAGGCTTTTCAGCTGTGAGTCAGTTGTTCAGCGAACGTTGGCCGAGTACACCTGCCAATCGGAGCTTCGGCGGCCCAACGACAGAAAGAAACATCGACTTTGAATTGGATGTCCGTGTAGAAATAGACAGCGGGAAATGTGTTCTTCATCAGAGTACGCAGCAACCTGAGCATGAAGAGATTTCATTCAGGAGGTACAGTGAAAGTCATCTTACATCTTGGTCTTTTTAGATACACAAACCTTTTTCTATATGATTCAAATTTAAAAAGTACAAATACAAAAAAAAACAAAACAAAACAAATGACTATCATGCAGTAGATGAACCAGCCTCTTCTCTCTGTGGGTTATGTAGGAGCTGTGATCGCAGCCTCAGAAGTCTAGACCAGGAGTCCCCTCCAAAGAAGAAAAAATTGCAGCCCACATACACATCCACTACCCATCTTCTCACTGGAAAGAAATGTCCCTCTTCACTGCAGACCAAATCGAATGACCTTGAGACCACAGTTTTCTACATTCCAGGAGTGGACGTAAAGGTTAGATTCTCCCTCAGCAATTCAAAATGTATTCTGTTTGGAATAGCTTTTACATTGTGAATTATTGATTCTCCTTTGTCCCTCGGTCCAGTTGCACTATAACTCCAAGACCCTGAAGACTGAATCCCCTAACGCCTCGCGTGGATCCTCGCTTCCGCGCACACTCTCCAAAGAGTCAAAGCTGTATGGTATGAAAGATAATGGTCCTCCCAATGCTGTCCAAAGCCAGACTAACTCGCTCCTACCTCCCCCGCTCCCACCTATCCCATCAGGTATTGAGAGTTCTCTCATTCTTAATTGCATGCCTGGCCTCCATCCCGCACCTCTGACACTCAAGTGCCTTGCCATTCCGTGCTCCATCGAGCTGCATGCCGTGATTGAATTCTAGGCATTACTCCATCGCTCTCCTATGGTCAAATGGGCACATGCATATAAGAAAGATGCAACTTCTGTTGAGTTGGCATTTCTTCTTGAACTGCATGTCGCTGACATACATTTCACTTATTTAACCACATCATGTGTCTGTAGCCAAAGGTAAAAGCAGCGGTGGGGTGAAAATGGCCAAGCTGTATGCCTGGGTGGCCCTCCAGACTCTGCCAGAGGAAATGGTCATCAGCCCTTGTCTTCTTGATTTTTTGGAGAAAGCACTGGAAACCATTCCTATCACCCCAGTGGAAAGAAGCTATGCAGGTTGTTTTCCCTTTGTGTGACTCATTCGGTCGCCACTGTGCTCTCATTACAGCTGACATTGGTTTTTTATCTTTGCTCTCGTCTTTTTGCTCTTGCTTCAGCTGTGGCTGCCCAGGAAGAGGACATGGGTCAGTTTGAGACAGTGGAGCCACTTGAGGAATCAGCCACTTCCCTGGTGTCTGCGTCGACGTCGGCATATTCTTCTTTTCCTGTGGATGTGGTCGTCTATGTCAGAGTTCAGGTACAAGCCAACTCACAGAATTACAAATATTTTTTCCATTTTTTAAAATCAATCAAAAAGATATTCTCTTATTTCATAATTCAACATTTGTGTCTTAAGCCTTCTCAGATCCGCTTCAGCTGCCTGCCCATGTCCAGAGTTGAATGTATGCTCAAACTGCCATCATTAGACCTGGTTTTCTCATCCAACCGCGGTGAATTAGAGACCCCACCTGGGGCTCATCCCAGTGATGGGTCACACCCACCCTCCTCCACTCCACCTGGGCACCACGTGCCCAAACTACCTCCCAGCAAAGGTCTGTGATTCCAATCATATTCCATTTTGCTCACGAGTGCCCCAACATCCTCTCAAATCTTTTTTGCGTAATGAGCCATCGCTTGGTAATTTGTTTTGCTTTTTATTGTGACACAAAATCTGAGGTATGAGCAAACTTGTGTTACACTAAAGTGGGGGGAAAAATTTTGCCCACTGATGCATTTGAGAGCCGTTTTTATTGAGCGCCCCCACGTCATATGAACACAAACACGCTTGACTCCAGCTCCTTCTGTCACTCAGTGGACCATATCCCTTAAAGGCACACGTTCAACACACAAATACGTACTGAAATACACAAATACACTTTATAAATCTGTTTATTTTGTTTCATTCTTATTAATATTTTTTATTCTGTTTTTATACAATGCAGGGCTATTTTTATTTACCAAAAACATGCAACAAACATGTTTTTTTAGGACTTGAACAGATTGACATTTCTATAGGAAAAATTTGAGTTATGAGGAAATGAAATTTGTGTGAAATCTGTGTCTGTTCATTTTCCCCGTTAGTGATTGTGACCGTATAAAATAGCCTGATTATTTCTGCTTTCTTCTTATCTCTAGCCTCTCCATTACTGGGGAGCCCCCTGGGTAGAAGCCGCCACAGCAGTAGCCAGTCGGACCTCACTGGGGGACCGAGTAACTCCTCAGGTCTCAGCTTCACTGCCTGCATGTCTGACTTCTCACTCTATGTGTTCCACCCCTACGGCGCCGGAAAACAGAAGTCTGCTGTCACAGGCCTGCCCCCGGGCCCAAGCCCATTAGGTAATAAATATGATGACGATGGTAATAAGAATAATAATAGATTCTACCTTAGGTCACCTTCAATGAACAATATAAAATTTGAAACCTACAAACTAAAGAGTAGAAGATACAGCAACCTAGTATGTAATACAAGAACCAGAATATTACCAATAAGTCTCTTTGGGGTGGGAGTCTCTCATCTGTAGACTCTTAGACTTTGGATCCACAGGGTTATTTTATTAATGCTGCTGCCGAAAACATGAAAAAAATGGCAACTAGTTATTGGAGAGATGCTAGTCTGCTTTGTCTCTACTGTCGACGTGCCATTGAGGTGCAGGGTTCGATCCCGGCTCCGGCCTCGCTGTGTGGAGTTTGCATGTGCTCCCCGTGCCTGCATGGGTTCTCTCCGGGTATTCCGGTTTCCGCCCACATTCGAAAAACATGCATGGCAGGTTAATGGAAAACTCGAAATTGACCCGAGGTGTGAGTGTGAGCTTGGATGGTTGCTCGTCTGTGTGTGCCCTGCGATTGGCTGGCAACTGGTTCAGGGTTGTCCACCGCCGACTGCCCGAAGACCGCTGGGATAGGCTCCAACACCCCCGCCACCCTTGTGAGGATAAAGCGAATCGGAAAATGGATGGGTGCATAGATGTTGTTAAATAAGGCCGAAGGGGAGAATTTAGATTACAAATAGAATAAATCCAAGAACAGAGCCTTGGAGAACACCAGAGGACGGGGAAGAAGGATGTGAAATTATTTTAGCAAAGTAAACAAATGCGTTCATGTGTCAGTGTCAGGTAAATCCGATTCTTTATTAGTTTTTCTCATGTGGCCTATGTAGAGATTACATTGTGACCTGATTATTTTGTAATTGCGGTCATTTGTCCTGAAGGTGCAGTTGATGAGGAGCCTGCATCTGTGACAGGAAGAAAGGACTCTCTGAGCATAAACCTGGAGTTTGTTAAAGTCAGCTTATCAAGGATGAGACGTACAGGAGGTCCGACATTTATTGAAAGCTTCATTCCTGGTAAAGGTGGCAAAATGGACACCACTCTTATCAATATCTCAGGTACGTTGTGGGCTCTCTTAGAATAGAACTTATGAGAATCATCTTGATTGTCACAGTGATCATACTAGTTAATTGTTTGTTGTTGTCTTGTTATTTTGTTATGCAGGAAGTACGTTTTTTATCAAATATTTTTAATAGTTAATTTTTTTTTCTATAGCTGTTTGTGATATTGGCTCAGCTTCCTTCAAGTATGACATGAGACGATTGAGTGAGATTCTGGCCTTCCCAAGAGCCTGGTACCGCCGAAGTATTGCCAGACGTCTCTTTCTTGGAGACCAGACCATCAACCTGCCAGGTACCTTGTCTAATTTGTGTTCGTGACCATGTGTTGGGTGAGGTTCATTTCAGATGAGTTTGAAGTAAGTTTTGCTTCTGATGGTTTGGAACTCTTTTGACCGCCTTAAATCATGCTAAAAATTGAGAAATTAGTGAGGAAAAGAATTACTGATGCACGATATGATACATTTTGACAATACAATAATCGAAAATTTCTTGCTGTGTAAATCCGACACCGATGACCAATGTATACTGCAAATATATCTGTTGCTGCTGCTAAAAAAAATAAATGCTTCTCTCCCAGTGTACTGTTATCGCTACGTGTTAGATACTCCGGGTATGTTAACGCAGGTCAACAGCAAGCCAAACTCATTTATTCATGAGCCAGGAAACTGAATGTCTTGCTCCTTTATTGCGGTCTTCTTGACGGCGTACAGTGTACAACTGTGACATCAGCTCAATAAAATGTAGAGTGAAACTGAAATGAACAGATTTAAAACATGCATTAACATCGTGTACATAAATACAACACAAATCGTCTAGTGTAAAACAAAAGACATAAATGCAGCTCTGCGTTTTCGCAGTACCTTCGCATGCTAATTAGCTTGTTAACACTGATTTAGCATAGTCGTTAGCAGTACTCTGAGCTAGCGAGTTTCAGTGACAACAATTGAGGGAAAACGATCTCCGAAACACATTTCTCAATAATTCTAAACACGAGCAGACTTACAGCCATTGCTTTCGAAGGTGAAACGAAAGGAATATAACTCAGGAGGACCAGTTGCAACGACCACGGTCAGGCTTTCTGTAACAACTCGTCTGATGAAACACGGCGTCTGCTACCCACAATGCACCGCGATAACTAAATGAATATTCTAAACACAATTACTATTAATGAAATGTCCCGAAACTTTTACTGTGGGCAGAACACCCAGCTCTTAATGTAGTGGGTTGGGAGGATGATGACGATATTTTAAAAAAAAAAAAAAAAACAGTGGTCAGTGACAATGTACAGTCACGTTTTTCTACTTTCTGAACTCTTGCCACTTCTGACGGTGAGGCGATGAACAATCTCAAAAGATAGGTTTAGTATCTAATCCCAGTCCTGGAGGGCCGCTATCCTGCATGTTTTCCATCTGTCCCTTCTCCAACACAGATCATCAGCAAGCTCTGTCGAGGCCTGAACAATTGAATCAGGTGTGTTGCAACAGGGACAGATGGAAAACATGCAGGATAGCGGCCCTCCAGGACTGGGATTGCCCACCCCTGTATAAGTACCTAAAGTTGGTTGCACCCCCACTTGTGTTTTATATATTTAACATGTGCAAACAATAGCAGGGCGGCACGGTGGCCGACTCTTTTTTTACAGGTACTCCAGTTTCCTAGGTGTGTTAATTGAACATTCTAAATTGTCCCTGCGTGTGATTGTGAGCCTGAATGGCTGTTTGTCTGTATCTGTTCTGCGATTGACTTGCAAAAATGACGATAGGCTCCAGCACGCCTCCGAATCATAAACTGGCTCCGATAATGGATGCCGCCTCAGGCCTGCCGCAAAATTCTATGTTTTAAAGTTGTTGTTTACGATTACAAAAAAGAGCTCTTTTGCGCCCCAACAGATGTTTGACAAAGCTCTATCCAAGTACAATCGATCAAAAACTTGCAGTTGAAAACACTGAATTCAAAATATTATTCGTGTACATGGATGAAATCCTGTATTTTTTGGAATGGTTTGCAACTAACTAGAATGTGCAGAGTGCAACAGAACTCATGGTACTGTAGCAATGACAATGTATGACACCAACCCACTCTGAATTGCAAACAATAACGCTGGACTAATAATCGCAACCTATGCTGTGTAGCTTACCGTTCTTCCAGTCACGATGGGTCATGTCTCCATTCCATGTCCGGGCGTTTTCCAAATACTGAGCATCTGGCTCGTACATGTATGGTCCAACATAAATATTGCCAACAATCTCCTTTTCCTCCAACTCTTGAAGCACCTGAATCCCCTCAGATAAGTTTGAAAAATCACTTTGTGGATCAATTTCTGACTCTGCAAATTTTATTTTCTTTTTTTTTTTTTTTTTTAGTGGTGCCATTGTTCTTCTTGAATTGATGTCACACTTCCAGGGTTTCACTTTGGGAAAATGATTACTTTGACAAATTTACGAAAAAGGATGTTTTTTCATGCCTTATTTAATGTATTTTAATTACGTTACTGGTGACATAAAAATATTTATTTTGGGATTTTCTGAAATGACTCCACCGTTGGCGTTTAAAGAAAGAGCAAAGAAAATATGTGGAGATACTGCACGCAGTGGAACACTTTCAACAACAATTTCATAGCACGTTTAAACCACGAAAGCCACATGCAATATTATTGTCCTGTATTTTACCGTGATATTTTCTATATCTTTGTTGGACTTTCAGGAATTCATAAAATATTTTTTTAAAAGTTAAGTTAATTTTGGGGCTTTTTTGGCAATGCTCCAAAAAACACAAAATCAGTGAAGTTGAGAATTGCAAATAGGTGGAGCAGAGTTGTATATACCATCCTGACTTTTCTTCACACAACTTTGTGTTCCACATTGTTATCTACCACATTACCAAGGCTGTTCTTCACTTAACACATCTTGACCTTTACCTCATTTCATTCAGCCTCTGGCCCTGCCACCCCCGACTCGTCTGAAAACATGACTCAGCATCTGTCTCCCGAGTCCAGCCGCAAAGCCTACTGGAGGACCTGGGACGGCAGCACCGGGACACACATGCCTCAGTCCCCCAATGTTTTCTCTGAGCACACCACAGGAAGCACCATGTCCCCAGGCGGTCTTGGCCACCTTAAGTCCCCTGCACCTGGACGAACCAGAAGTGTGTCGGATTCATCTGCACCAAGAAGAGGTAATCTCACACACTGGAACTCGAAAGGACTTTGAGCACATAAAGTGTATCATAAAGCATCAATTTTTAGTCTGCGTTCTCACTGCAGCTCAATCCCGATTTTTTTAAATGTATTTATTCCCCCCACTCCAGATGCAACACACATCAGATTTCTCCTTTTTTTATTCATACAATGTGAACATTACAAGTCCCTTTTTTTCCAAATCTGATCTTTCGTATGTGGATATGAATCTGATATGTATCCAATGCGTATGAACGCTCATCCGCACACATTCGAACTATACGTCATCACAACCCTAAATAAAATCATAAAATGCGCCCCTGCATGCTAACCTCCATAAACATTGCGCCATGTGACATCATATTTTTCGGTAACAGTCACTCGATGTTGTAAGTCCGTGAGTACGTGACGGTGTGTTTTGCCCTGAGCCCAAAAACAGGTGACTAAATAAGTGACTTTTTCAGTGTCTAATGGAGCATAGGTCGGCGATTCAATAGATTCACAAGTAGCGATTTGTGAATATGCAGTGGGACACTGTCCAGCATAGAGAAGAACCTTTGACCAAGCCACCACTGCAAGATGAACAGAATTCGATCCACCACTAACCTTACTTTTCTTTTCATATTCTCATCCAGATTCAGTGACAAAAACATCCACTCCTTCATTTAGTAAAAATGGAAAGGCAGCAGGGCAGCATGGGGCGCCATGGGAGACACTGGTGGTGTTTGCCATCAACTTGAAACAACTCACGGTCCAAATGAACATGAGCAACGTCATGGGAAATAACACGTAAGCTGTTAATGTTTCTTTTCACATCTTAAAGCTGAGATGACTAGTGGCGACATGAAATGATGCGTGTCTTTTACACTGCTTTCTACTTTCTATTCTTTATTCAGACTGTATGTCTGCATCGATTGTCAGCCTGAGGGGTTATAGCTATCCGCCAGGGTTGGAAGAGTTGCTTAAAAATGTATTCCAATACAGTTACCAGTTACTTAGTCATTAATGTAATCCATATACCATAATATTAAAGTATTGTTACTTGATTACCTTCAGTTACATTTGGATTACTCTTAAAACCACATTTTCTAATCAAGACTAAAGAAACTGAACGTAAATATAAGATGCCATATAATTGTCTAGTCTTTTCTTTCTTATAAATGTTTCATAAAACTATTTAGCCAACAAGATGCGTTCGCATAGCTTGAATTTACTCATGAGATAGATGCATATCTGAGTCACATGAACAATTTTTCCTGTAGCAATATAGACCACGGCAACAGGCATCAACAGAGCTACAGTGGTACCTGCTTATGAAAATAATTAGTTCTGGAAGAAATTTCTTAATTAGAACATTTTGTAAGTAGAGACGCGTTTTCCATGTAAATGCCCTAATTTGTTCCAAGCCCCCCCAAAATTCAGACATAAATGTTTCCTAAAGCATAAAAACGCATCAGAATATGTAACAAATACAAGTTACAATTAGATTATTGCACAATAAATGAGAGTTGTGCATAATGTAAAAAACAAAGAATAAAGAATAAAAAATGGTCATTTAACTTTTTTGACCTCTTTAGTCCATGTTCTCTCTCAGAAGTGGTTTTTGCCTGGCGTTTTGTCAACAACTGATCCGTTTGCTTTTGTCGGCTTTTAACAATCCTTCGAAAATGTCTGAGCCAAACATCAGCATAGTGAGCGATCGCCCGACTGGTGAACGCTTTTTCTGGGTGATTCACATTTACATAAAACTATCGGAACGTCTCATGGCCCAAGGGGCGAATGACGAGAACGCTGCATAAACACATCTATTCTACACACATAGACAAAGAGGGTCAAGGTCCCTCTCAGCCAATGTGATGCCAGGATGATGCTCGGAAATAGCCAAAGGCAGAGGAGCTATAAGTATGTTGCATTCAGGAAACTCGGAGCTGCGAGTAGCAGTCCATCCTGTATTATTACCTTTCGCATCTTGAAATTTCTTTCGTAACAAGAGGCAATATTTTCCTGTTGAGACATTTAGCAACTTGAAAATTTCGTATGAAGAGACGTTCGTAAATAGAGGTACCATGTATTGTTTAACATCACCTTCCCAACTCTACACCTCAGCATCACCACACCGTCACAAAAATAAAGTATTTTTCTGAGGTAGTGTTACAGCAGCAGTATTCGCAGGTTTGCTAACTTATAAAACTTTCAATGAGCAGAGTGCTTGGTTGATGATTGCGATCCAAAATCCAAAAGTGTCTGGGATCGCCAGGGCCCACTTTTGTTCCAAAATGTCTGCTTGTGTAACGATGCAGTTCATGGCGAATTTGACTGGAGGTAAAGTTTAAACTTAAGTCGGAATTCCTGAAAAGCCTTCCATCATATCTGAGCTGAGGGTGCACTGATGAGCTCGGCAGTCATCATAAAGTTAAGAAGCACAGAGGTGTGCAAGTTTCTCAGCTGGGAGTTCAAGTCAATTCTCCTACTCCTGTAAATGATTTAGATTCTCAGAATATTATCAAGAATAACACACTGGATCAGCAGTGTTGTTGTTTTATTTGTTTTTTAACAAGAATCTTTTTCAGCATTAACTTAGGCAGTGATCAAGAGATGCTTCAATGTAATACTTTCAAATTCAGTCTACACATACAACCGCATAAGAGAGCAACCACAAAGCTGTTCTGTGAGAGGCAACAATGTTAAAGTGTCAAGTTACTGTGACTGCTGACCTTTTTCTTTCCACTAACCTGTGCGTTTCTCACTCTGGAAGTCATTTATGATTCATAGAGAGTGCTTGTGTATTATTCAGCAGCATTGTTTCCCCTGCAGCTGGACGACCAGTGGTCTGAAGAGCCAAGGGCGGCTATCTGTGGGTAGCAACCGCGATCGAGAGATCAGCATGTCTGTCGGCCTGGGACGCTCCAAGCTTGACTCCAAGGGTGGTGTAGTGGGTGGCAATATAGACGTGAACACCCTAGAGATGGTCTGTAAGTAAACAAAAACACACACCACCATTTTTTTTCTCCTACAGCTTATTGGGAAGCTCTTGTTACATTGAAACGTAACCTGGAGCCACGAAGCCAGAACAACTGATTGCTAATAATCAATTATTATCCCGGTCGCTAGTATGTCTTCAAATTTAAAATACCCGAAAATATGCCAATCTGTAGTTGTTGAATCGCAACTGTGCAGTTGTCCACTATATTACAAAAACCATTTGTACAAATAAATCTTTTTTTAATACATCTCTGGTACACTCTGAAATCAGGTGTACGAAGCCCAATGCCACTATTGGCATACATTGGTTATAAGGTGCACCTTCTCTGCACCTCTCTGCATATTCTAACTAAATATTCTAGCTTTCGTTTCAGTTTTACTGGAAATTTATTTTAAAATGAGTGATTGTTTCCCTAGCACACATCTCTGAGCACCCAAACCAGCAACCAAGCCACAAGATTCAGATCACCATGGGCTCCACTGAGGCGCGGGTCGATTACATGGGCTCCAGCATCCTGATGGGAGTTTTTAGCAATGCTGACCTGCAGCTCCAAGATGAGTGGAAAGTCAACCTGTGCACTGTTGATTCCAGCATATCGGAGAAAAGGTATGACATTGTCATCGGAACAAAGCAAATAAATCACCAAGTGTGCTCTTCACTTGATTAGATACAGCGCGGCAAGCTAGTAACAAAGCTTCCCTCCCTTCCACCCAGTGAGATCTTTGTCCATGGGGACTTGCAGTGGGACATTTTCCAGGTGATCATTTCCCGCTCCACCACACCGGACCTAATCAAGATCGGCATGAAGCTGCAGGAGTTTTTCACTCAGCAATTTGACACCAGCAAGCGGGCCCTCTCCACGTGGGGTCCTGGTCCCTACCTGCCTCCAAAAACCCCAGTTGTCAACGCAGAGAAAGGAGCGGCAGAGCTGTGTAAGTATTCCCTTTTGCCTATATTGCTGAATGAAGTTTCCAAAGAATAATCACTCGGAAAGTATCGAGTCCTGCTAGTCACCAGAAGGGCTTCATAACTAATACATTTCCATTGTAACCAATGACCCAATTTAGATATTCTCCATTTTAACTGCACAATTTATACTTGTATAGCTCTGCTCATTTTTCCACAGGCACCAGGTACTACAAGGAAGTATTTCTTAAGAACTGATAAGCCAGTCTTCGATGCATACCAAAACAATACTTTGACATAAACCAACTGCTTGTGGTTTAATGGCGAAGGAATTATCCGTCGCCTTCTGTGTTCGAGGTCACTCGTTCTTGACTGCAGAGTCACGATATGGGGATAATTATATCTTGGACTATACAGTCAAATGAAAAAAAAAAACGCTTTCGAGCATGACAGTTTACAAATTGCTGTTGCAGAATTACAACGTGCCGAAGCTACATCAGCTAATATAAATCCCGTAATACTGTATTGGCCCGAATATAAGATGGTGTTTTTTGCATTGAAATAAGACAAGTAGGGTCGTCTTATATTCGGGGGTCTAGACATTATACCCATTCACGACACTAGATGGCGCCAGATATCATTGAAGCGAATTCTGAACTTGACTCCCCAGGCCAAAGTGAACCCATGTCATGAAGAATAAAAATTAAAAATAGCGGTAGCACAAAGAAGAAAGATAAAAATAGCGGTATGAAGGAAAACAGAAGAAAATAATAGAAGAGATAACAGAAAATGGAGAAACGTAGCGACAGTCTGGAGAAAAGTGGGTCGAAGATCGGCCAGGTTAACCGGCAGCTGAGGAGAAGTTATGATGTAATTTACTTTTCCAAAACCAGAAGCCATTCATTTACGAATGTGATTGCACTTTAGTTTACATATTTAAATGTTCCGATATTAAGCTTTGACTAAGGCAAAATAACATGATTTTTCTCTCAAATATATTGTTATAATCATTTTTTTCAGATGTACTGTAATTATTTTCTGTATAAAAATTAATTTGGTGTTCAAAAAGTCTTTTTTCAAAATTGAGTTTTGAAAAGAGGGGGTCGTCTTATAATCAGGGCCGTCTTATATTCGGGCCAATACGGTACATCTTGAACAAATAAATTAATTATAATGATATTACCATAACACTTTATGTCCATCTGTGTTGTGATGTGTTGCACTGCTTACCGATATATTAATATGAACGATAGTTGTGGGTTTGCTTTTTTTTGCAACTTGCCTTTGCGTGAGTAGTTTTGGGAGACCCAAAGACCTAATTTAGCTTCTTGTGGTTGTTCTCCATGTGACATAGCTGCTATTCCTTGACATGACTTGCACAGTGCCTGCGTCTGGGAGAAGTGTTCTTCCCTTCTTCGGAGTCATCCCATATTTTAGACGGCTATTCTTTTCAGGCACAAGTTATTTTCATCCTCATTAATCTGCCGTTGCTACTTCCTCTGTCCACGGCTGCTGAGCTGCTCACTGGATGTCTGTGGGGTCCACTCTACCCAACAGAAGAGCACGTTTTAACTCATTCAGTACCAGCCAATTCTGGACCAAGTCTGAAAAGATGTTTAAAAACGTCTTTGGGAGTGAATGAGTTAAGGTCGCATCTGATTGGTCAAAGTCAGATAAATGCCACCATGTGCAACAGATTATACTAAACCTTAAGAAAGTATTACCATATTTTCCACACTAAAAGGCGCACTGGATTATGAGGCGCCTCTTTTGTAATTTTTTTCACATATTGGACGCACCGGATTATAAAACGCAATCTACAATGCATCCACTAGATGGAGCTACGCTCAAGGAAATTCAAACAGAAGGATCAGATGTCAGTAAAATGTGGGAGACTGGACTGTCTCAGAAGTGTTTTGTTATTTATTCCTTTGTTGTGTATTCACAAACGAGGAAATCACAAAATAAATTCTGTAGGGGGGGCGGTAGAATTTATTTTGTGATTTTCTGTGTTGATGCATTATTTTCAATTCTCGTAGTTTCATTGGCGTAATCGTTAATTTATGTTTTTTGGAGGCGGTAATGAACGCCTCTCGAGTTGAATGGGAGAAGGCACAGAGACGGACAAAGATGTACCTGTATTTGTTGAGACTGTGAAAACCATTAATAAAGTGTGCGTTTTAAAAAACCAACACCACAGCTCTCCTTTTTTTCGAGCTGCAACAAAAACTTATTTAATTAATAAAGCAGCGACACAGTTCACTGAACCAACAGCAAGTTATAACACTGACTCGTTAACGTTGAACTTTCCTGCCACTATTCTTGCCGCTATTCTATTTCCGTGTTCTATTGCATGTTTCCAGCAAGGAACCATTTCGGGGTCGACATATTACCGTAATGACCATACACAAGGCGCACCGGATTTTAAGGCGCACTGTGAGCTATAAGAAAATGGAAGACTTTTAGGTGCCCCTTTTAGTGCGGAAAATATGGTAATTCATTGCACGTCTTTTTGAGGAGAGTATTGCACATAGCCATTATTTCCATAATTATATAGGGTGTCTATAAAGTCTCTTTACCATTTAAAAAATGCAATTGATTAGATATTTTATCCATATTTGTTCTATTTTATTCAGCGTTTATTAAAGTTTTGTTTTTTTTATCTCTTTTTATACACTTCTACATGGGCACCATTAGTTGCACGAAGCACATCAATCCTGGATTTCTTGCCATGTTCGCTGTAGCATAGCCTCATCAATTGTGGCAATGGTATCAGTCATCCTTTGCTTTCGGTCAGTAATGTCCCTTATCTTTGTTCGATGCACGATATCTTTAACATAGCCCCATAGAAAGAAGTCCAGGGGAGTGATATCTGGTGAACGTGGCAGCCACGGAATTGGCCCATCCCTTCCAATCCACCGGTCTGGAAATGTTTGATTGAGGAACCCACGAACATGCAGCCCCCAATGTGGTGGTGCACCATCTTGCTGAAAAATGATGGTTGGTTGAAGGTCATTCAGTTGTTGTGCCACATATTCAGTTCAAAGGTCAAGGTAAACATTTGCAGAAATGGCTGTGTGGTTGAAGAAAAATGGACCAATTATTCGATTGCACATGATCCCACACCACACATTCACCTTTGGGCAGTGTGATAAAAAACTTAAATAAACATTGAATACAATCGAACAAATCTGAATAAAATAGCTAATCAATTGCATTTTGAATAAATTTTTGAAATGGTAAAGAGACTTTATGGACATGCTGCATATTTTTTCATATATTTTGCAGCCCCAATTGGGTTCATTTGATAGTGGCTAACCACTACCAAAACCTTTAAACAACACTATAAAATGGCAAACTCACTACAGGGCCATATAGGGTGGATAGGGAATTGTTCCGAACGCAGCCGTCGGGACATTGGAGGATGCACGGCTGAAATTATTTAAAAATAATAAAATAACACAGATGCTTTTTACTATGGATTGCTTGCTCTCTTGCTGCAGATAGACACTGCAAATACTCCACTTTGAAGTCATTTTTCGAGGTGCCCTCAGTTCTTCCCGGAATAAAATGTCTGTCTTACTACTGAGTACCGTGCGTGTGTGTAGGTGAGATGGGGGCATGAGAGGAGGCTACTGGCAGCAAATGTTGCCTCGTAATTTGATCATTTGTCCTATTTCATCTTCCTTTCCCCATTTGAATCTTTATAACAACAATAACTTTACGGAGTAAGCAAATCTGCTTTCCCTCATTGGATGAATTGTCAATCTATTTATCTAAATATATCTCCATCTCAATTGATGGTCAACCTCGTCCCTGTATCTCGTAAATAATAAGGGTCCACTGTGTGTGATGAATATGTATTGTGTTGATATATTTCCTCACAAGCATATTTGGTATTGGAGCAAATCAAAAGTAATTAAAAGTTAGAAAGTTATATTACCTTAACATTATGGTGCTTGGATGGCATGACAATCAATTTTTTTTTTTTTTAACAGGTAACAAGTAACTGTATTGGAAGACATTTTAAAAGTAACCCTCCCACCCTGCCAACCATTACATGTTGAGATAAAAATACAAGCAAGTGATGTCATTCTTTGGTGTTTGTTGCCGTGTTCCAATTGACGTACTGTATTTTCCACACTAAAAGGTGCACTGGATTATGAGGCGCACCTTCAATGAATGGTCTATTTTGTAATGTTTTTTCATATATTGGACGCGAACAATATAAGACGCAAACTACAATGTATCCACTAGATGGAGCTACGCTCAAGGAAAAGCCAACAGAACACTACACTGCACTACACCCTGATTTATATAGCGACGATCAGATGTCAGTAAAACTTATTTAATAAAGCACCGACCCAGTTGACTTAACCAACAGCAAGTTATAACATTGACTCGTTAACGTTGAACTCTCTTGCCGCTGCTCTGTTTCCGTGTTCAACTGCGAAACCGATCGCCTTAAGTTTGAACTCTGCGTTGTAAGCATGTCTCGAGCAAGGAGCCATTTTGGGGTTGACATATTACCGTAATGACCATGCACAAGGCGCATCGGATTTTAAGGCGCGCTGTGAGCTTTTAAGAAAATGGATGGCTTTTAGGTGCGCCTTTTAGTGCGTAACATACAGTATTCACTGCAGCCTGGTTTTCAGTTTCCCATGGTAACATTTTGAAATTTACAAAAGATAAACTGGGGTTAGTAGAGTTGAGACAGCCAGGCAAATACTGTGCAGTGGTACATACACAAGAGGAAATATGCATGGCCGAAAAACAGTGCTAATCAACCATTGTTCCCTTCAAGATGATCTCACTTTGTGTCCCATAACAGACATGGATGCCGCGCATCACCGTCACTGGCCCGGGGTGCTGAAGGTCATCGCGGGTTGCCACATATCCCTCTTCCAGATGCCTCTGCCCGAAGACGCTGTCCAATTGGGTGGCTCCATGAGCCTCCATGGCAATCACATGACCCTGGCCTGCTTCCACGGCCCTAACTTCCGGTCCAAGTCGTGGGCTCTCTTCCATCTGGAAGAGCCCAATATCGCCTTCTGGACGGAGGCACAGAAAATACTGGAGGATGGTGAGAGAAAGCTTTCATTCCACCAACCTCTTAACATGCCCAAGATGCTGCCTGGCACTACAATCGGTTTTCTAACACAGGTTCCAAGGACGATTCCACATACATTGTTCAGACACTGGACTTCCATCTTGGTCACAACACAATGGTGACCAAGCCCTGTGGTGCCCTGGAAAGCCCGATGGCCACCATTACCAAGATAACGCGGCGGCGGCACGAAAACCCTCCACACGGAGTCGCCACGGTTAAAGAATGGTTTAACTACGTCACTGCCATGAGGAATGAAGGTGACTCTGGTTGTTGGTTTTCCTAATGCTCTATAATCAAATCTGATTACAAAAAAAAATAACAACAATAATATTCCGTAACTGAACATTACCACAGTTGAATTCATTGAACAAGAAAAGGAATGCTGATTTTGCCTAAGGATTACATGTGGCTTCTTCTTAGAAACGTGATGAATACCCCCTTGAAAAAGCGACTTTCAGCCTTTCTTGAAGCAGACTATCTTTAATGCAAAATAACTGAGATCACGCGAAGAAAAGAAAAGTTTGACTTTAAGCTCAAAGGAGTCCTGACTCTTTCTTTTGATCACTCACTTCAGAGTTGAACTTGCTCAGGAATGTGGAAGCCAACAACCCAGAGAGTGGAGCCGCTGCCAAGAGCTCCAGTTTGCTGAGCAGCTTCCGCAGCAACTCCAGCTACAACCATGAGACTGAGACCATCTTTGCTCTTCCCAGAATGCAACTGGACTTCAAGTCCATCCATGTACAAGACCCTGATGAGCCTTCTCTGTCAGGTGGCATGCATTTTCAAAAATACACTAAACACAAGTAGCCCATCCTGAACAATGTCTCTGAGTAAAGAAGTAACATATTTTCTGCACTATAAAGCGCTTCGGATTATCATCTGTACCTTCAATGACTGACCTATTTTCTAACTGTTTTCATATATAGGGTGCACTGCATTATATATATAGGGTGCAAAGTAGCTGCGGTTGTGCTCTGCATCCACAAGATGGTGCTATGATAAAGGGAATACAATAAAATGCAGCTCTATATATCCAGAGCCTTCACCACTGCTGCATCTGTAACAAAGCCATGAGAACTGGTCACAAACACGGACATGAAACATATTAATAAAAATGGCATTACCCAACAATAAATGGAAGACAAAAGTTATGAAGACAATTGATTCAACAAAACGGCACACGAACCTCGGGCGCTCACATCCACAAGGGGCTAAATATTCTTAGAAGTCTTGCTTGTCTCCTTCCTTCCTTCATTTAGTCAAGTAGTTAACTATGCTCTTGGTGTTATCTTTGTTTCATAATTCCTGCGCAGGGCTCACAAAATAGTTGTCTGTTTGAGTGTGTGTTGGCGAATGCACATGTCAATTAGTGTTGGGCAGAACTCTTTTAGGTTACAATTGGTTCCTGCTAATAATCATCACTCGATGGCATAGGAACACTACCAGGAAAACAACTCAATGGGGAAGATAAAGAGACTGTAAAACCATAGGCGCGTCAGATTATAGGGAGCACTGTCAGCTTTCCAGAAAATGGAATGCTTTCATGGCGGTCCAGTGGTTAGCGCGTCAACCTCACAGTCAAGAGGTCGTGGGTTCGATCCTGGGCTTGCGTGGGTTTTCTCCGGGTACACTGGTTTCCTCCCACATTCCAAAAACATGCATGGAAGGCTGATTGAACACTCGAAATTGTCCCTAGGTGTGAGTGTGAGCACGAATGGTTGTTCGTCTCTGTGTGCCCTGCGATTGGCTGGCCCCGCCTACTGCCCAAAGATGGCTGGGATAGGCTCCAGTACCCCCCGCGAGCGACCCTTGTGAGGATAAAGTGGTTCAGAAAATGCATGGATGGATGGAATGCTTTTAGATGCGCCTTATAGTGTGGAAAATTGATGTAAATATATGTGCCGCTGATACAAAGCTAAAAGAACAATAGTCAGTAAGTCCAACAAAACTCAATGCAGCTCTGCTTACCTTTTGTCATTGCAGAGGTGTTGCATCCATAGGGGGTGTTGGTGTTTCTGCATGCACGTGTTTCAGACAATGTGTGAAAATGGGTTGCGATTGTCATGATGTTATGGGCATGTCTTTGTTTGGCAAGTAAACCCGGGGTTGTCACTGCTTTTATGTAAATTAGCCCGACTGTTACACACCTAAAGTTACATAATAGTCCCAAACGACTCGCTTGCATACATTTTTTCGGAATAATGGAGAGGACAAAAGACTTAGTTGGTTGTTTGATTTCACATTTGATGGGAGGGCAGGCATTCTAGAGACCCCTCTACTGTATTTTTTGTTCGACAAGTAATTAAAAAAAAAAAAGGTCCCTTTAATCCTTTCAGGGACAGCGGTTAATACAGTGGGCAACTTAGCATGTAAAGAGGTCCAGTGTATAATAAAGTGTTGATATGTATTCCTGTGAGCGAAAAATATTTTCCAAAGTGTGAGAAAGTGCAATCCTGGAACAGAGCCTCCTCAGCTTCAAGCCCTCGATCAGTTCCTGTGACCGCTTGTGTGTGTTGTTTTTAATCGTGACTTAATTTAAAGGTCACCTTAAACCCATTGCTGGGAGAGTCGATTTTTCCAACATGTAAATGACCATACGGTATGTACGTTTGTGTATTCCCAGATTCCAACAGCAAGCCAAAGGTAGAGTGCAGCGTGGTGACAGAGTTCACAGACCACATCTGCGTGACTATGGATGCCGAGCTCATCATGTTTCTTCACGACATGGTGTCTGCCTACCTCAAAGAGAAAGAGAAAGGTTTGTGGTCAAATCCGTAGTACCCACGAGTCGACCACTAAATGAAACACATCAAGAGTGATAATTGTCGATTGAAGGTTTCACAGAAAGGTTCTGTCTTCTTCCCGGTAAAATGAGGAAACAATATCAGGCATTTTACACATCTGCCTGCGTCTGTGCGGGTGCGTGTGTGGCGAGCGATTAAAGGGGGCAGCCAAGTGTTATTTTTTCACGCAGCAGTACAGTTAAAAAGAGTGACATAATCTACATTTTGATCAGTTTCTATTTGTCAAATTATCATGTTAACACTATTAATTAGGGCCCGGCCGATATGGATTTTTTTGGAGGGGGGAGGGGGATGGGCGATTTTTGGCAAAAAAACGTTTCATTTTATCTTAACCTGTGACTTTAGGTTGTGTGTAAAATAGTGACATCCTGGTCAGATGCTTGCACAACTAGCATTGTTGACCCCAGGCATTGTTTGCCAAAATTAAGATTTGCTTTGTTTTGAATGGCAGGTCCGTAGAATGACCTTATCAACACATTTAATGATATCTACCTCGTTATTGAATATATTTCTGTGTTATAAATAACGAGGTCAGTGTTAATCAGCCCATCAGTGGATTAATCGGTCAGGTCCTACAATTAATTCAGATAAGAAAACCTTTATTTGTCTCACAATAGAGAAATTCCCAATTTACAGCAACAAAATTATGAAAGGGAGAAGTAGAAGAACAAAAATATAAATATAATAATAATATAATATAAATAAATATAAATATAAAAGCATATTAAAAATGGGTGAGTGGGGGTGAGTCCAGGTTTTCACAGGTCTGTCTATTCAATAGCCTGACAGCAGTCGGCAGGAACGAGCGGCGGTGCCTCTCCTTCTTGCAGCGCAGGTGTATCAGTCTCTGGCTGAAGGAGCTGCCAAGTGCGGTCAGGGTGGCCTGGAGGGTGTGGGAAGGTCGGCCCATCACAGCTGTTAGCTTAGCTAGCATCCTCCTGTTGCCCACCTCCTCCAGAGTGTCCAGGGAGCAGCCCAGGGCAGAGCTGGCCCTCTTGATAGTCGGTCCAGTCTCTCTCTGTCCCGGGCTGAGATGCTGCCTGACCAGCAGACTATGCCATAATGGATGGCCGAAGCCACCACAGAGTCATAGAAGGTCTTAAGGAGTGACCCCTGAACTCCAAAAGACCTCAGTTTTCTGAGCAGGAAGAGCTCTGCCCCTTCCTGATCAGAGCGTCCATATTGTTATAATTCATTGCGGTATCGACATTGTGACCATTGAAGTCGTACCCCTGCATTGCTCTGTTGATTCTCTAGCTGAAACGAAAAAGGTGATAGGTCAAGCTGTTTGTTCACACCAATCCAGGCAAAGAATAGAGGGCGCTTTATTGCATCCAAGTTTTTCGATTCACTTCCAGAAAATAGAAAGAGAACATTTGTTAGAGGAGAACATGAGGTCAATAGAGCGTGCAAGGCAACAGTTGTACATGTCTTGGTCTTCACTCTCTCCTTAGCCCTTTTCGCCCCACGGATGTTTGTGGCTCGGCCAGGCCAGAAGAGCCCCACGGCCGTGCACGATAACGGCTCCACAGACAAGGACAAAGACGACGGCATCAACTACACGACAGTGGACTGGAGGGAGTTCATGTGCAATACCTGGCACTTGGAGCCCACTCTCAGGTCAGTTGGGATTCATCTCCTTATACATACACAGCTGTGCGCGCGCACACACACACACACATTCATTTTTTTAGTATCCTTTTTCAAGCGACCCTATGGAATATTCAAATTTTCTAAGAAATCTGAATTTTTTTGCTCACTTCAGGCTCATCTCCTGGACGGGGCGCAAGATCGACCCAGTGGGAGTGGACTACATCTTACAAAAACTGGGCTTCCACCACGCCAGGACTACCATTCCCAAGTGGCTCCAGAGGGGCGTGATGGACCCGCTGGACAAGGTGCTGTCAGTGCTCATCAAGAAGCTCGGCACGGCTCTGCAGGATGAGAAGGACAAGAAAGGCAGAGAGAAAGAGGAGCACTAGCGCCACACCGGATGCTAACACTGGATGGCCGTTTTTCCTTCCGCTCTTTTCCAACCTGGTAGAGTTCAGCATGGCTGTTGACTGCGGTGTGCGTCACCAGCGGCAGCTGTGACTGAGGCTTTTGCAAGGATGTCATCAATGCGGATCTTCTTTTGGAAAAGAGCAGCAATTAGCATCGTATATTTTGGTTGCTTTAATGGTTCCAACCCGGCCTCTGACATGATCCCATGTAGTCCTTTTGGGAAGGCTTTCCACTATTTAACGAGAAATTATTTCTTCAAACATTGCCTTTTCCTTGTTTCCCCATGGAACACATGGTAAATGATGCTTTACTGTCTGTATTTTATGTTGTGTTTAATCGTTTGGATTTTTGTTTTCCCCTTGATGTGAACAAAATGAGCACTGGGAGATTCGGGCATGATCTGTCTTCAGGACATCAGGAATCTGTTATTATTATTATTATTATTTATGGGTATGTGAAATGGAAATCTTGTAACATGAATTAGCTTGATGTGTCAAGCTTGTTTTTGTTTTTAGTCGGTGTATATAATTACATTTCGTAAATGTGTTGATTTCCTAACTTAATAAAATAATGCCACTGGATTTTATATCAGTGTTCTGCATTTTATTTTTGAAAAGCTCTGAATTCCTTCACAAGTACCTTGAACTAATTTTAATTACAGTTGGGGATATACACTAAAATGGCTGCTAAAATGTCATCACCAAGGTTAAAGCCAAGAGCCCGCACTTGAAATTGACTTGTGAGCTTTCAAACATCCTCAAAAAATTTTCATTGTAGGAAAAGCTTTTTTTAGGCCCACGGATAAAATGTGGTCTTTAAAAATTTTTGAGCCATGCTCACTGAAAGTGATGTCACAAACTGACAACATTGGACAAATTACTTGATGTCAGGCAAATTTAAGACCTGGTTTAACACTAACAAGTTTGGTGACACTTACAGTACACTGATGAGCCACAACACGATGACAAGTCACACAAGTTTATGACATCCAAGAGAAAAGCTCTATCTAATATTCTGCTTTTAGCACTGGTCAACAGCAATTTTTAATTAGAGGTGGCTTTAGGTGTCCCTCAACATATTTTTGAAACGGATTTAGCACATCAGCGATTTCGGGATTTTGAGATTTTTTTATTTGAAATTCAATCTATAAAAACTTGCAGTATGGATTTTACTGTGCGTTTTAATTTATAGCGATGACGTTTCAGAAAAAATGCACTTGTTTCTCATCTCTTCATTCTAAAATATTACTAACCATATTACTATTGCATATATATTAATTTTCTATCACTGATATGAAAACCTGATGTGCAAGAGAAAAAAGGGAATATTTGGAATCGGCGCAAAAAAAATATCTTGAAAGGTTTACTTACATCTCTGATCAATTTGTGTCAGCTAAAAACATTTTAAGGTTTATTGCATACTGTAGTGTCGACAGAGTTTACGTAGCTTCAAGCTTCAGTAGCGCAGCGTCAAAAAAACCAAACATGGATTGTAGCGCAGTATGCAGTCAAGCCGAAAGGGAATCACATCAGATCATGTTGAGTGCAGGAGGTCCCCAAAGTTAAAGGGGCACGAATACTTTTACAAGCCACTATATTTGAAGCAAAATTGTATTAGCTGCATTAAGATGAAGGCCGTTTAATGCTGCTTGTCGAAAACTGTTAACGTTTGGAGTATTTTGATGGTCACTCGTCCATCCATCCATCCATTCATTTTCTACCGCTTATCTGGGGTTGGGTCACAGGGGCAACAGCTTTAGCAGGGGAGCCCAGACTTCCCTCTCCCCAGCCACTTCTTCCAGCTCTTTCCAGGGTATCCCAAGGCATCCCCATGCTGCCAGCTGGGAGACACAGTCTCGCTACAGCGTGTCCTGGGTCGTCCCCGGGGCCTCCCGCCGGTGGGACATGCCCGGAACACCTCACCAGGGAGGCGTCCAGAGGCATCCGAATCAGATGCCCGAGCCACCTCATCTGGCTTCTCTCAATGTGGAGGAGAAGCGGCTTGAGTGTAAGCCATTCCCAGATGACAGAGCTACTCACCTTATATCTAAGGGAGAGCCCGGACACCTTGTGGAGAAAACTCATTTCGGCCGCTTGTATCCGGGATCTCATTCTTTCAGTCACGACCCATAACTCGTGACCACAGGTCACTCGTTTCATTCTCAAAATAACCTTTCTTGAAATACTATTTTCTTTTTCTCATAAAATTCCATTATTCTCCCAACTCTCCTGATTTTCATAACTTCTCAAATTTTTGTTCTTTAACTTTGATAAAAATATGCAAATAAATAAATAGTGAGGCCCAAATACTCCTTTGAAGTTGGATAGGACCTATGTTCAGCCAACATATGAATTACCATTAATTTAATTTAATTATGCATGAAAATTGATGCCAAGATTAGCGACGACGAGACTGGGTGAAGTGGTTGCACTTCAAAGCTAGACAGGGAGCATGAAGGAAAAAAAAAAACTGTACTTTAAAATGAATTTAGGTGGAAACAAAGAATTTTGGACTTGCCGCTCGCAATGCATTACAATAGAAACTAATTCCGAAAACTGCAAATGCAGTTTTGTTAAGTAGTGTTAGTTAGCTTTTTCTTTTTGGGGGGAGTTTGATTAATGTCTTGTTTTGTTGGGAAAATGAACTTGCAGCGTTGCCTGTTACAGAACATCCATTTGAATAAATACAAGATTTTTTTGGGGTGGGGGCGCTAGTGTGTCTTGCTGTATGTGGAAGTCTACAAACCTTATCCAACCATTTATGACAGCCAACTCAAAATTTCATGTTTTTATCAGAATTCTTCCTCCTCCCTTGCTTTCTGCAGGACTTTATTAATACACGAGTGTGACTTTGTGCCAGCTCTCATCTCTTCAACTGTGCGATATCCCCGCATGCCACTAGCCATGTCCCACTTTTGGGTTTCATGCTTTTTTTGAATTTTTGATTTCAGTTGCAGGAGAGGCAAAGGAGCACACTGTGAAGAGACGGTGTGGTTGAATTTCTTAGCCAAGGTTATTTTAGTGAATGAGAAATAACAAAATAAGTAAAAATCCATCCATCGATCCATTTTCTTCTTATCCAAAGGTTCGCAGGGTTGCTGGAGCCTACCCCAGCTGTCTTCGGGCAGAAGGCGAGAGATAACTAAAAATCAAATGGGGAAAAAACATTTTCATTTACAAAAAAAAAAAAAAATGAACGAAAATTTGTTTTGAAAAACAGCTGTAACTTTTTTATGGGCTGTAATTCCAATATTGGCCATTAGATGGTGGCACCCTATTGTTTGACCCTGTGTACATATGAAAGAAGAAGATTTCAAGCAGGAAGTAGGCCAACAATATATCAAGAGTAGCCTTGATTGTGCTGTAAATTAGTCATTGTTAAGTCAAGTCAAATTTATTGTCAAATATGCTCTATGTGCAACATACAGCACAGATGAAATTTCTTTCCTCTCAACCACAGGAGAGAGAGGAGCCACTGCGGGTACTCACGCCGCCATCAACAGAACAGTTAACATTAATGACAAAATAACAACACAAGACATAAGACGCAGACAGTCATGCAATCATAACCACTTTTCTGCATACACTTTGTTGTTTGAAGCAGTTCGAGATGAAAGAGGAGAGAATCAAAGTGTCCTTTCACCAATAGATCAGAGACATCATGCTGAAAATGTGCACACGTCTGCTACAAGCAAGGGTTGAAAACAAACAAGAAGCTGTCGCGTCCATTGACGAAAAAAGAGACTGGCTCACATCTCCTGTCCCATGTAAATCCGCTTCAACTCCAAGCCGCGACTCCCAGGTCCACATACGCATCTGCGTTCTGCGCTGACGCTCCTTTCTTCGCATCGTCGGCTCCACAAGCTCAACTCAACTCAACTCAACTGTATTTATAGAGCACTTTCAAGTGCTGTACATGGAGCAAATGAACATATACAACAAACAGTAAAGCAAATCGGAAATAAAAACAGTAGAAAGCACCGAACAGCAAAACCAAGAACAATCTAAGTCATGCTGAGTCAAATGCCAAAGAATACAAATGAGTTTTGAGGCGGGTTTTGAAGATGGGCAGCGAGGAGGCTTGCCGAATGTTCAGTGGGAGGTCATTCCAGAGAGAGGGACCAGCAACAGAAAAGGCTCAATCCCCTCTGAGCCTCAGTTTAGTTCTTGGTACTTCTAATAATGTCTGGTCTGCAAACCTGAGGCGCCGGGCAGGTGTGTAGGGGCGGATGAGCTCAGAGAGGTAAGGTGGCGCAAGGTTATTTAGACATTTGAAAACAAATAAGAGGATCTTCAAAATAACTCATACTAAATGTATGGGGAGCCAGTGAAGGGATGCCAGAGTAGGAGTTATGTGCTCCCTCTTACGAGTACCGGTCAAGAGGCGAGCAGCGGCATTCTGGACCAGCTGGAAGCGCTTAAGCCATCCATCCATCCAGCCACAGACTGTCCAGCAGCACCAACATTTCCGCTGAACAAAACGGGGCTGTGAAAAATGCTGCCCATTACAGGCACAAAAAAACACAAGCGACCCAGGGGCTGTCCAGCACCAACAGTCAAATGGTGCCGACATTCTCCCAATCCAAATCAGTGCTGGTACGCGCGTTCTGCCGAGAAGGCGCAACCACCAAGCACAGATTCTTCTCCAGTGACGAATGTGGCCAAAAAGACGCTGAAAACAGTCCATATCAGGTCCACTCGACGTAACAACAAACATCATATGACCATATGACAAAACAAAACACAAAAACAACAACAAAAACAACAAAAAGCAAGGTTCTTGAAGAGCACTTGCCGACGTCTGTAATCTTACTTTTTACACATACAGAAAACTCTGGCTGTAGATTTATTTTATAATGCACATCTTGGTGCCTCTACTGTTATGTCTTGGGCTTTTATTGTTTCAGTAAGTTCACATGAAAAGAACAGGCATTTATGAATGAAATATGATTTCATCCATCACCCGTCCACCGAGGGCAGAATTTCTTTGCCTTTTCCCCTATCAAATTCACCAAAATCACGCTCGCCTACCTGCGCCAATACTTAGATGTGGTTCCAATAGCACATTGTCAGGTGCACCTGGGGACTTCGGTGGGCCAGAATATGGCATAGAGCGGTCTGCCAACTTCCTAAAGAGGCAAAAAAAAAAAAAAACCAAGAGACTTGCCCTGGCAAAACAGTCAAGATGAGGCAGTTTTTGTGCTTGAATGCAGCAGTGCCATCTTCAAACATGGAGCCCAAAGTTTTAAAACGTCACAGTCACTCTGGCTCGTGTTCTTTGATTTTTTTGTTTTTTTCTGATAAATTCCCCCAGAGTTCTGCTTGAGCTAAATGTATCCTGAGGGTAAAAATGAACTTTAGTATGTCTGCCATCACTCTCCCTGTTCAGTGACCCACAATTATTCAGATTTATGTAAACAAGATGAGAGCTTTTTCTTTGACTATTTGCATGAGATGCCTTTTGGCTTGACAGTCTTGTGTATATATATCAGTGGCGGACCCTGAGGGCCAGCAAGGCCTTCTCTGCTGGCCTAAACATTCTCAGAAAAGTAAATTTACTTTTATGTATTTTATGTTGTTTTATAAC